CCGCCTGCAGAGGCGCGGGTTCGCGGCCCCCGCCGGCCGAGTCTGCGCGGGGCGCCCACTACGCTCTCCGGCCTCTCTCCCCGGCCCGGCCGGCCCCGAGTGCTGGAAGTCAACCGCGCGTCCCACCCGACGCACGCGTCGCCTCACTTCCGGCCCCTCTCTGGGCCTCCGCTTGCTCAGTGTTGGGGGTCCGCGCCCCCAGCCTGCGGCTTGATGCTGGGCCAGCGGCGTGGAGTCCACCCGGCCGACTGGGAAGCCGGGGCTCCGCAGCGGCCCTGGGCACCGGCCCGGCGTCTCCGGGGCCCTTTCCCGCTGCGGGGCCCGGGCCAGGCGGAGAGCAAGGTGTGGAGCGGTCACGCTGGCCTCTTCCTGCGGCTTCCAGGCGCACGGGGCCGCTGCGGTGCTGCCAGGGCCTGGTCCGCAGAACCTGGCTTCGCGGTGCAGGGCCAGGGCTGGCAGAAACAAAATCCTGTTTCCCACAAGAGCTGGGAATTGAGGCATGCACGGAAATACAGCTCATAAATGGATGGACTTTATTTGTGCTGTTCCCAGGCTTTAATTTCCAGAAACAAAATGTCAGTGTTGTGGCTGAAGTTCTCTTAGTTTTGGGAAACACGCCATAATCTGGCGCGGTTTATGCAGAGTCCAGATATTATATGACCAGTGTGTTTGAGAGGAGCGGGGGTCGTGGCACTATGCTTACGCCGCAACAGGAGGATCGGAGTCGGGGCCGCTACTTCTGCTACTTCTAGTATTTATGTTCCAACCCTGGCCTTACGCTGCTGCTAGGAAAACGCAGGGAGTGAAGCTTCGTCTGGAAGCCGAGGCTGCGGGGAGCCAGCTGCTAGTGTGCCAGGCCTGTCACTCAGACAGGCTGAGAGAGTGTGCGTGCATGTGTGTGCGTGCACTCGCACGCGTGTGCATTCCCATGCGTGGGCAGTGTGAGGCGGAACGAGGGCTGGTGGGAGGAATGGGCACTGTCCTGTCCCCTGCTGGCCAGCGAGACCTGCGACCCCTCTGGCACAGGTGGCCTGCCCGTGCGGGGAGCTCCTGGCACGTCCGGGCAGAGTGCACAGGCAGAAGGAAGCCGGAGCCCCGAGGGCGGGCCTGGGGATCCGGAAATGCACCCCGGGGGGCTGGGGTCGTCTGACGCTGAGTGGGTGGGGTCCTGGGTCCTTCAGACGGACTCTGGGGTCCCGGAGACGGGTGGGGCTGGCTCGCGGCGTGCAGAGGGGCGGGGGGGGAAGGTGAGCACCGCGTGCCCCGCGCTCCTGTGGGGTGGCCGTGCTCTGGAGGATGCCTTCCGGGGCCACCTCACAGCCTCCTTACTGAGCACAGTGTCCCTATCTTTTCACGAGACTTTCCGAGGTGAAAAGGAGCGCTTCATTCATCCCTTGCAAGAAGAGAAGTAACTGGCTGCCCCGGAAGCAGCTCTGGTGACTCTGAACAGGCCCTCGTCCTGGGCAGCGGGGTGCCGCCCCCTGCCTGAGGCTCTGCTGTGCACCCGAGCAGGTGGGTCCGACCCAGCCGGCCATCAGCATCGCCTGCCTGCACTAGAATCCCCCTCAGACCCAGAACCAGGCATGTAGAAGGCCGCCGCAGTCAGCTCTGCGGAGCATCCGAGGTGGACCTGGTGTGTTCTCGCCGAGCGGAACTGGGCTGCCTTCCTCTGAGCTCTGGCCCTGTCTCGGAAGCCTCCAAGGCCACGTGATGCAGGCAGATGGAGCCCGTGCTGTAGTGGGGCTCGAGGTGGTGACAGCAGCTGCCCTGTGCTGGGTGCCTCGGGGAGGCATCTTCCTGGTGCACAGCACTGGGCAGGTAACGTGGCTTCCAGCGGGTGCTGTGTGTGGGCCGATGGAGATTTCTCGGTTCCTCCTAGGAGCTGTCCCGCCATGGGACAGCCAGGGCCTTGGAGCCTGAAGCTCTGCGATGGGAGAGAGGACAAGGGATTCCCTGCTACTCACGCATTGGCAGGACCTGACCTCGGGCCCCTGTGCCTGCAGCCAGATGGGGCAAGAAGGAGCACAGGAGGAGGGGAACCTTGAGGTCACCAGGGTCACCTTCTGCCTGCAGTCCTTGCTGAGGCAGTTCCCTACACCAGCCTGTGTGTGGGCTCTGCGCCCACCCCCTCTGCAGCATGGCTTCCTTGGGAAACGGGCCACGCTCGTGGTGACGCTTGCTTTCTTTGTCCTGAGTCACCGTGACTGGCATTCTGCAAAGCACGGACATAGCACGGCACACTCCCTTTCCATGGGCGACGTGCGGCCTGTGAAGAGGTGGCCAGCATTTGGGGTCCGGCCTCTCTCTGAGAAGCACGGAATGTGCATATTTTACAATGGCAGTCACATTTCGACCCCCACACGGGCTTTCTGGATGCCTGGACACTGGGCAGCAGAGGTGCGGGGTCGGGAGGTACATGCTCCACAACAGTTTCTTCCGAATGTTCTAGAGCCAGTGCCTCGAACTCTTGGCAGGAGACCAGGTGGAGGGCAGTGGTGCCTGCGCAGGGCCTGCACCCTGCTGTTGTCCTGAGGGGCAGCCTGTGTGTCCCCCACAGTGGGCTCTGGCCGCGTGGCTGGCAGCTGGACTTGCTAACACAGGTTACCTTGCCACCGCGGAGCGGGTTGGTGGTATCGGAGCCCACCCAGGGCCCAGCACAGGGTGCTCCTCACCTGCCTCGAAACTAACCAGCACCGCATGACTTCAGAGAAAAGTGAGCCTGAAGAACCCACACTTTAAAAGTTAATGCTCAGAGGGGAGACAGACGAAGAAAATACTTTTTTTCATTTTTCCTTAAAAGGTAATTTGAAAAAAAATTACCCTTTGAAATGTTGCCAGCAGTGTGTAAACCAGAGAAAGTTCAGGAGTCAGAGCCCGACTCTGGTTTCAAGAGAGTACTGAGGGATCGTTTACCATCATTCAGCAAGAATCTGTATCCCCAAGATTTCTCCAGAATTTGATTTTGTTCTCCATTTCAAGGAAAAAACGTGTCGTGGGTACTGTCCGCTCGGCTTCCTCGGCTAGGGCAAATTCTCTGACCGATGGCCCAGAATCGCATCTGGAGGGGACTGATCCCACACAGCGAGGTGACTTCTGGGACGGGGCCTGGGAAGGCTGCGTATAAATTGGATTCAAATATAATTGATATTTAAGTCTCTCTCTGGCAATTTAAACTTTGATAGTTTATATCTCCGCTTAATAGCATATTAAATCATTTTATAACCCTTAACAACTGTTTAATCTTTTCATGGTTGAAAAATGAGGTAATCGATCTAAACCATGTTGGAACATGCCAGGAAAAGCTTATTTCAGGGTACCCCCTCGCCCGCACTCGGGGCATCCGGGGGCCCGTGGGCACGCAGGACGCCCCCCAGACCCGCAGGGGGGTCTCCCCAGGATGGGCCTGGCCTGGGCTGGGGCTGGGGGAAGACTGAGGGACTGTGGGGCCCGAGGCTGGCCCCCAGAACCTGCCCTTCTGGCCGGAGGCTCGGCGTCCTCACAGTTCAGCAAGCCTTGGGCCGCCGCAGTGACGGCGCTCAGGGCTGGGAGAGAGGGAGGGAGAGCAGCAGAGGGCTCTGTTATTCCCAAAACAAGCAAGCTTTCTCCTTGGGAATGACACCAAAGAATACCTTCTAAGTGAAGTATGTTTCCCTTCAGAGATTACAGCATCGAGTGATCAAAGTCCCCTGGAAATACCTCTGGCAGCTCTGGGTTTTCTGCAACCCTTCTTCCGGCTGGCCACGGAGCAGCTGCGTGGCTGCGTGGCTACGTGGCTGCCGTGGGCGTGGCCTGGGCTGCGACGCCGGATCCTGGGGAAGTGGGGGCGAGCGAGGCCGGAGCCCAGACTCGCGCACAGCTCCGGGGCCGCTGGGGGCGTCGGGCCGCGACCTTTCCGGCTGGGGCCTGGCCGAGCCGTGCCCCGTCCTCCGCCTTTGTACACACGGTGTGGGCCGATTTCCACTGAAAATGGCCCGTGAATTAAATACAGATTTTCTTGGAACATCTTTTTTACAAAGGAGCCGATTCGGCCCGGCTGTGTCTGGTGTCGCAGGTGCTGTGGCCCGCGGAGGGGCTGGTGGGGCTCGCGGGTGGACCCATCTGGAGCAGGCCAGAGGGACCGCGCTGTGCTGAACCGCACTCCGCCGCCCAAGGCCTGGGCGCGGCGCAGCACGCGCGTGCGCCGTGGGTGACTTCCCCCGGCAGGTGTGTCCCCAGAGTAATCTCTTGCTTTTACCGAGCGCCAACCGGCCTTTACACAGAAATGAAAGCGGATTCCAGGCTGGTCTCTAAGGCACCTCCCAGCCACCTAAGCGAGGGTGCCGGCGCTGGACCCGTGGGCTTGGGCCTGGCCCGAGGCCCGCTCCGTGGCCTGCTCGCCCTGCGGTCCGCGTTGTGGTTCCTCGCTGCCCTCGCCTTTCAGGTTTTCGCTCAGGGACTCCGCCCGACACAGTAGCTGAACAGGTGTCTCAAGCACGCCTGTCTCTTCCTTGATTATTTAAAACTTCATGTCTATTTAAGGTACCGTATATTTTACTTATTATACACAGTAATAAAAGTAGGGTTCACACGACAGGATTTTTCGTCTCTTCCATCTGTTCCAGTGCCCAACACCCAAGGGATCACTAAGCTTTTATTTGTGTCCCCAAACTGCAGGCCAAAACCTTACCACAAAGTGCCAACGCTGCAGTTAGACCTGAATACTGAGGTTTGAGTTAAAAAAAAGAAAACCAACTTATAATTAGCACCTTTAAAGAAAAACAGATAACACGCATGCCATAGGTCTGCCACCACTGTGCAGTTTGTTGAATGAATGCCCGAGGATATTCATTTACAGGTCGTTGTGATATGTTAGAGAAGAAAAAGTGTTGCGTTCAGACCCTAGAGTCGAGCCAGTTATCAGCAATTACAAAAAGGTAGATTTCAGCCTACATTAAAAAGGAAGCCTTTTGGAGAAACAGTGTTGACCGGAAGTGCGCAGTGACGCAGAGGCTGGACTTCCGGCCAGTGGGGGCCGTTGCCCTCGGGTCTCCGTCCGGGGCGCCCTTTCCTTCTGCCCAGTGGCTTGGCGCGTCCGGGTCACATCTGTGCTCTCGCAGAGCGGACCTCTGGGCCTCTTCTGCCCGCGACCCGAGCCCCGATGGGGCCCTGGCCTGGGGTCTCCAGCCGCCTTCCCAGGGTCTGTCCCGGGCTTCTCCAGCGCCCACCGTGCCGCGATCTTATGTTGCCACAGCGACGGCTTCATTTCTCTTTGCCTCTTTCAAGCAACCATACCGCCAGGTCTCCCCCCCCGAGTCTGCTGCTTGTAGGGCCAGGTCCCGGGCTCCGAGCGGACTCTCGCCCCGTCCCAGCCTCCTCTTCCTGCCCGGGTTTCCCAGAGAGGGCTTCCGGCTCATCTGTGACTTGCTTGCCGTGCAGCTGCCAGGCTGCAGCTCCAGGGCCTCAGGGGCGAAGGTAAGAGCTCCTCCTAGTCAGGCTGCACCGGGGGAGCTGAGAGAGGGTGGGAGGAGCGCACACGGGGCAAGAGGAAGCCGCCTGCAGAGGGCCGGGCTGCTGGCCAGGAGCCCCGGCAGGACCGTGGCCACCTGCGTTCTCTCCTTGCTCTGGGGCGGGCGGGCATCAGGGCTCAGGAGCGCACTGGGCCACTGCGGCCCTTCTAGTGCTGGGTCCCAGGCACAGTGAATGCAGGTTCAGCGCCCGGGTGGCAGAGGGCCTGGGCTCCCTGCCAAGCGCTCGCGACCCTGCATATGCCAGCCAACCTTTCTCCCCGCAGCTTTCCCAGCCGAGGAGTGGGCGCTAGACTCGTGTCTTAGAAAATTCCTTTAATGCTTGGCAGCAGATGTTATCTTAGCAGATAGCTTTCTGTGCTATTTGAGTTTTTGAATCTGTGGGGCATCCCTTTGGTAATAACAGTAATAAAGCAGGTAGTTAGGAAAAGCTAAATGTCATGTGCACATCCAGAGTCTCTCTGCCACCCAGGGTAGGGACTGACGACATTCGACACGGGGCTGCTGTGCTCCTGCCCAAGCCCGCATCCTGGGCCCGCAGCACTCGGGCATCCAGAGAGGCCTGGGCCGGAGGGAGCCAGCTCGGCTGGGCCAGGGCTGGAGGTGCGCTGTGCCAGCCTGGGGCCTGGGGGAGGCTGGTGGGGGATGAAGTCGTGCTCACTTGGGCTTTATAAAAGGTTCTGTGGGGTCCATTAGAGCTGGGCAGGGAGCAAGAGAGCGATTTTTATGGGGAGTTTACACACAGCCTTCCCTGTGCTTTGCCAGCTGGACAGCGGGCCCCTTGCTGGCTGTTCCTCCAGCTTGGCCCGGCCTGGAGCAGCTCCCAGGATGTGAGATCACACCTCACCCGGGACACTCGCTGGGCAGGGGCGCTTGGACCCCCCAGGGCGGCGGGCCTCGGAAAAGCCAGGGAGCCAGGCACCCGCCCCAACCTGTTCCAAGGGACTTGAAGTCCAGCCTCGCTGAGGCTGGCCTGCCTTGCCCTGCCCTGCCCTGTCCTGCCTGGAAGGGCCACAGCGGAAGAAGCAGGCATGGCTAGAAGGGGGTCCCACAGGAGGTCAGAGGTGGGGAAGGCTGGACCTCCTGCTGTGCGGCATCTCTAGACCCAGGAGAGGAGTCCAAGGGGGCGGCAGGGCCGAAGCAGCAGGCTGTGGGAAGACGCTGTGCTTGTGTGTGGGGTGCAGGGACAGTCAGTCGCATGCAAGCCCAGCCCGCGCCTTACCTCAGCCGCCTCCAGCACTGGGCCTGGCCCTGACCAGTGCCCGGTGCTCCCTCTGAGGCCGCTGGGCACAGTGCTGGGTTTGCCCGAGGGCAGCGTGTCTCAGGCTGCCTTGTGCTGCTGTGACGGAACACACAGACGGTGACCCAGACACCATGGACGCCAACGCGGCTCAGTTTGGGAGGTGGGAAGCAGAAGGAAGAGGGGCCACGTGTGCATCGCACAGTGAGTGTGCGAGTGGGGGAGGGATCCAGGCCCAGGGTTCATCGGGAGTTCGCTCCAGAGGCAGCTGCCCATGCGGAGAGAGGAGCAGCAACGACTGACCGACTGACAGACCAACCGACCGCTGCAAGGCGCCACCACTCAAGCTTGCTTTCAGGGTTAACTTTCCAGTCATGGCTGTCGGGGCGCAGGAACCAGAGCAGAGTGGCGCTGGCGGCTCTGCTGAGGCGGCAGCAGCGGGCTGCTCCTGCCTGGACCTTCCAGTGCCAGAGGCTACACTGCTGGTCTCAGCACCCCGCGTCCTGTCCAGGGCCTGGCTTGGAGGGGAATGTGCGCCACTCACTTCCAGTGACCGTGAGGCATTTCTGGGGCCACTGCTTCTCCTGGGGGCATTTTAGGAGCTGCAGGCGGTGACGGGGCCTCCACTGTGCAGAGAGCCCACGTGACACCACCGTGTCTGCCTCTATTTGTTGCCCACCCACTCTGTTGGCATCCCTACTTCGGAGGGCTGTGTGTTCTCACCATCTTGGAATCAGTTTTGAGAGCAGATGTGTATTTCATTTTGCACTCGGCAGCCTTCAGCCTCTACTCCTTTCGGCCTCTCTCTCCCTGTCCTCGTTTAGGCTGTCCGTATTCTGCTCCTTTCTGTTTGGGGGACAGGCTTTATGCCCTGGGCTGTACTAGTAGGCTGGGCTGGGCTAGGTACCATTTCCTGCAGAAATCCCAGTGGTTTAATGCAATGCCGAGTTCGTGCTGGTGTCTCCTGTTCCTCCGCGATCGGGCCGCGGGGATTTTCCCCAGGTGGTCTCTCCAGTTTCTTGCCGGTGGAGCACCATCCTCACCGAGCTGCACAGCGGAGCTCTTCATTGCTGGGGCCGGAGAAGGGAGCAGAGGAGGCCCCCAGCTGCCTTTCATCGCTCCAGCGTGGAGAGACACGAGGTGCTTCTGCTGGGCCGCACTGGCCAGTTAGTCCTGTGCTCACCTAACAGCCGGGGTCTGCAGGGGCCGATCAGCTCCCGGAAGAAGAGAGCTGGGCATAGCGAGCACTTGAAGTGTCCACCACAATGGCCCCAGACATTTTGTTGAGTAAGTGAATGAACAGAAGGAAGGGAAGTGCCATGCCGCTTACTGTCACCCGGGGAAAGCCACGTTTACTTCTTTCTTTGGGGCACGTTAGTGTTTCTGGGTGAATCACCAAAGGCGAAGCCCTCAACCAGGCTTTGGATTCCCTGGTGACAGGAAGGTCTCTGCTGGTGCTCACAGACCAGGCAGAGTCAGTGAGTGGGGCCTTCCGGGTGTGCGGGGCCCCGCTGGGGGTGGGGGGAGACCCGCAGCAGAGGAGCAGGCAGGTGTGAACTGCTGCAGATTTTCAGTCTGATAAATGTAACCAGTGTGACTTGGATGCATGGCACTTACTTGAGTTTGAGAAATATCGTATTTGTTTTCTAGCTCAAATCTCCCGGAGCCCCTGGCCCTGGCTGTGGGATGGACCCACATCCCTGTACGCATCCTGTCCTCCCCTTTCACGAGATGGGCAGGAGTGGGCTGCAGAAACGCAGGCTGGCTGCCGTCCCGCCCTTTCCCCCTGCCAGGACTGGGTGCTCCTTCGGGAATGAGGAAGCCCTCGGGCTGGGCTCAGAATGGAGAGTCCAGCGTCATCCCAAGACGCTGTCAGCCCCTGCCCAGGGCCGTCTGCTGGAGACGAGTCCCTCCCCTTGCTGTGCTGCGGGCGGCTTCCCCAGGCTCCCCAGTCCTGGGCCAGGCTGAAGCCCCGGGAGTGTGAGCAGACTGGCTCTCAGGGCTGCCCGCTTGGGGCGTCCTCAGCCTCTGTCTGTCTGCAGCACGCAGAGCTTTGGCCGTCGGCTGCAGTGCAGCCAGGGGCCTGAGTTACCTCATCTCGTCCACACTCGCGTGGCCAAAGCCTGTCGCAGACAAAACACCAATAAATGCCCGGGCCCGGGAAACAGGGCTGAGGAGTGGGAAGCAAGCTTGTTCTATGGCCCAAAACTGGTGTCTTTTTTTTTTTTTTGGCAAAAGAGAAAACGAAATAAATTTAAAAACAATGTACGGTCCACATTTGAAGGCTGTAGAGTATGTATGGCCTTCAGCTGCTTCCAGCAAATTATTCATGATCTATCTGAGCACTGGCTAAATAGACGCTGACACCATGTCTCCCCACAGTGCCTGGCCCCACATGGGCCCTGGCTGCGGCCTGCTGGCCTGAGCCTGCGTGGGTTTCCATACCTGAGCCAGGTAACCCTCAGGACGAACTCTTGGCCAATCCCACAGGCAGCTCAGCCGGTGCAGCGTTCCCAGTGCTTGCTTGTGGCCTGCAGCTGGGCTTCAGTTTGTCTCGGAAGAGTCTAGCGCAGGGCACTCTTGCTAAACCTGGGTTGCATGTGATTTCCATCCACAGAGCCGTGTTGCATTTCTTAGGGTTCACAGCGAGGCAATAGCCTCCCTTGCGTCAGTCCCCCTCCATGCTCACCAGCTCGCTGAGTGGCACTGTTACCCTTGTGTGTCCCCGAAGCCTGGATGGGAACTTCTGCAGTGGGACAGTCGCAGACTGAGGCCAACTGTTCTGTGGCCTCTGTCAGCTGCCCTTTCTCCTTGGCTGGGCTTTGTCTTCTCTCAGCGGCCCACATGACGCTGACACAGCTTAGTGAGACAACATCTCAGAAACAAGGAGGGAGATGAAGCTCAGCACTCCATGGGTTCAGTCCCTGGTGTGGGAGGTGAGTGGGTGGGGAGCAGCACATCCAGAGAGCTCTGAGAGAGACTGTCTTCGCACAAATCCCCATCTACCTCAAAATCACTCTTCCTAGGGCAGGGAGAGGAGAAAGGCAGAAAGCTGCAACACGCCTGCCCTCTAATCCACGTCCTGTGTCCCTTAAAGGGCTCTGTGCACCCCACAGGGCTCCACCAAACATAGTTTGAAAACCACCAGGGTGAGTGTAAGGAAACAGCAACGCCTGACATTTTGCAACAGCAGCAACAACAAAGCAACAACAACACAAAACCAAAGTGGCAGCAGAATTACGCAAGAATGAAGGCAAGGCAGAGGCAGTGCAGTCCCCTCTCTTCTGTGTAGTTGGAAGCACCATCTACTGACCGCTTGGGTGCCTTGACTCCTTGGGCTTTCCCTGCTCAGCCAGGAGGGTTTGTGGTGGGTCCCAGGGAGCCCGGCTCCCAAACCACCCTAACTGAAATGTGCTAGCAAGGCCGCCCCAGCTCTGCAGAGCCCCGGCCCTCTATAGCAGGGGTGATGCAGGCGGAAATTCTGGAGGGCATAGTAGTTCTTGGCAGGTGTGAGGGTGTCTGCGCAGTGGCCATGTCCACTTAGTGCACAGTGGATGATTAAGAAGCATTTCTGAGTGAACAAAGGCTCGGCAGGAGAAAATAGCAATGGGAGGGCACTTCTGAATTCTAAATGATTCAGGAATCCTGGTTGCTGGCTGCTGGTACAGTGCCCACCGTCCTGCTGCAGAGAAGCTCCAAGGACAGGCCGCCGATGGGGCTCTGATTATAGAGGCCCTCAGCGTTCCTCGAACTCCGTGTCCTTGTCACAGTCTCTACCCCAGACCAGCGTGGAGGTCTTAGGGTCTCGAGAAGGAGGTGGCCCACTTTGGCTATGGCAGCTTCCCAAGCAGAGTGACTTTCTTTGTCTCAGGGAAGTTGCCTCCTCCTGCCCAATGAGCCTGGTGAGGAGCAGTCTAGGGAAATCTCCGCTTGTTAATGGTGTGGAGACTGAATGGACAGAGATGTGTGTGTCCTGGGAGGCCCAGCCCGGAATGCTTCATTTGTAGGCACCGATTGCAGGCAGCCCCCCTGTAGGGCGGCCTAGTTTCCTCAGTGGGTCAGTGCTGTACAGATTGCTTTGCCAGCCTCAGGTGAGTTCCGGTTTCTGGGTTGGGGAGGGAAGCCAGGAATTGCAGCTTGACTTCTGGCTGGAGAGTTGGAGCTAAGTTATCGGAGGATACTGGATGGATCAAACTCACACTTGGTCAGAGGACAGGAGGGGTCTTCTGAGCCCCATGGAAGGACTCAGCTTCATAGTATGTGATGTTTGGGGCTGCCCATTTCATGCCTTGATCTAGCCCTCTGGTGGCCTCATAGACACCCGAGTCCTGAGGTCTCCTTCTACCTTCTTCTGCTAGAGAGATTTTCCTGTGATCTTGGTGATCTTTGGTGGTTGTCCTCTGCTAGGATGCAGCTGGAGGTGCCATCTTTGAGATGGCCTAGTGCACTCAGCCTGGAAGGATCTTGTGATCGTAGATGCTCTGTAGATATGCGGTATGATATCCCTAGGACCTCCTGGTCCCCTGGCCTGTCCTGGGTCCCAGCTGCCTTCTCAGCCACAAAACCTGTGTTCTCCCTCCACCTAGAAGGACTTTTCTGGATCCACAGACTGCCAGGGACTGCATGACACTAGGCGAAGCAGGGTTCCCTTCGCTCATCACAGGGAGGGCCACCCTGGGTGCCGGAGGAGGAGGGTCTCGAAGTCCTGCTGTTCTGATGGATCAGAGCTCAGGGGAAGGGGAAGTATGCTTTGGGCCCTAATCAGAGGCTGTGTCTCCTGCAGTTCCTGGAATGTTGGCTTCTGTGGCAGGTGCCACCTACGATGCCGACACCATTCAGCTGTGGTGGCGCAGGCCTCTCTTGGAGATGGCTGTGCTGTGGGGGACAGATGTGCTTGCTTTCACTCTACCCCTGACTGGGGCAGGAGAAGAGGGACAGTAACTTGACATAACTAAAATGACTTGCATGCCGATGGGCTTCCTGGGAATGTGTGTGTGGAGTGAGAGTCCACACTCGGGCTCAGAGTTGGGCTCACGGGGACTGTGGAAGTCAGAGGTGCTCCAGCATTCAGCAAGGATTGGATGTGCCTCTTTGTGTGCATGTGTTTGTGTGTGTGTGTGTGTGTGTGTGCATGTGCATGTGCAGGTGACACCCTTAGGGAGGCATCCACACTGCCATTCACACCCGCCTGCACATTGCATGTCTATCACTCTGAGCCCAGCGCTGAGGCTTCCATTTGGACCTTGACCCTGTGTCATGTGTCACTCCACCTATGTCGCCCATGACTTTCTGCAGAGCTTTCTTCTGGTTTAGTGGGACAGGGGACCCAGCAGTGTCCCTTCTCCTGGTCCCTGGCCAGCTGAGTCCGGAGAGGAATGGATGCCAGCCTGATGAATGAAGGCGTAGGTTGTGAAGGCCACGTGGTTGCCTTCCCCTCGAGGTGCTCCTTGTTTAAGAAATCGGATGGTGGAAAGCATTGTTGACAATCAGCCTGCAGCTTCTCTTACATCTCTTTTGTCTTTGCTTTCCAATCCCCAAATGAAAAGAAGACAGTGGTTTATTCTAAAAACAGAAACACCCTGGACTCCCCTGTCTCAGACAAAAGCATCTCTTCCCAGCCCTCAGGTCCGCCTGGGAGCAGAGGCAGCCCTGGAGCCGCGAGGCGGCTGGAGGATCAGGATGGGCAGAGGAAGAGGGGGTCATGTGCAGTGGTCAGGTGATGCCAGACGCCCAGTGCTGGAGCGCGGCGGTCACGGTGAGAGCAAACAGCTCAGCAGAAAGAGGTGCTGGCTCAGGCTTTGCCCCGTGGCGCTGGGCCCTGGGCCTGGCTCTCTTGCTTCCGGTTTGGGGTTTGTCCTGTTGAGGAGTCTGAGAGGTGACTGTTGGATTGGGTCTTGGTCTTGGAAGAAAAATCTTAGAGAAAGAAGTGAGAGGAAAGCGCTTAGACTATGAGGGGCGAGGGGATTCTGGGACGGTGGTGAGGGAGGTGGCTTCTCGAGGACCATGGTGTGTGGTTACCAAGCTTGGGACAACTGCGGGAGCCCGGCTCTGAGGAGCTGGCGGGAAGGCAGGTGAGTCAGGAAGTGGGTGGCCCCTGTCTGGGGCTTGAGGACCACACCCTCACTCCAGCGAGTGGCTGTTTCTTGGAGGGACGGCTGTGGGGGTCCCGGCCCTGCCCTGGCAGTTCACATCCTGGCGAGCCTGGAGCCGGGTGCTCACGCTGGGGGTTCCTGGGGTTGACAGGCGTATCTGGTCTGCGCGCCACTGTGCAGGAACGCACTGGACTTGACCATGCAGAACTGGCAGCATGGACTTGTAACCTTTCCCCGCTCCTCCCGAACTGTGCCCAGCTTCCCAGCGAAGGAAGTGGGTGAAAGGGGAAGCACCCTGGACCCCAGGCTTGAGTCAGCCCTGCGCCTTGCTCACCCAGGGGCCACCGGGCACTCTCCCCTTCCAGGCTGTGATGATGCTGGCGCTCCCGCCCTGCCTGCCCCAGTAGGTGCCGATGCTTGTTCTGCCCTCTTCTCCTTGGCCCGCCTTCCTTAGGGGTGACCTCTCCTCCGAGTTAACTGAGGGGTCTGGTGGGGGCTGTGGGCTAACCCCCCCCCCTTGCCCGCAGTCATAATGAGATCCGTCTGTTCACCCTGCTCCCTGGCCACAGCCATGTTGTGGGTGGACCAGAGTTGTTCCTGGCCTTGTGGAAGACACTTGCGCCAATAGTTAATGAGTTCCTCTAAGAAACACTGGGTAGACTTGGAGCTGAGTGCCTGAGTAGTGATGGAAGCTAGCACTGTGCTGCTACCAGCGTGACCCGCTGTCCGGGAGGATATCGAGCCACAGTAGGATGTATACATTGGGGTTGTTTGCTCTCCAGGGATAGAAACCCCAACCCAAAGTAACTTAAGCACAAAGGAGACCTATCAGTTCCCGTCCCTAAAGGGCAGAGGTCAGGCTGGCTGTGGACTTGGCTTCAGACAGCCCCTCACTCAGTCATCACCGCCAGGGCCCAGCATCTCTCCCGGCTCTTCCCATCTCTCTCGGCCCCGCCTCCTCTGAGCTGACTCCACTGGGAAGCAGGAGCCCTCCCCCAGGGCCCTAAGTGGCTGCATTAGCTTCTGGCCTGGTGTTCCCTTAGACTCGAGTCTGCCTGGAAATAACAGCTGTCTTTTTCTTAGAAACTTTGGCCATCATCTCAT